CAGCTGTTATCAGTTGCTATCACTGTCGATCAACTACTATCCGTGTTCCCGTCCTATCATGCCACTTGTATGAGCCAAGGTTTTCTGTTACTGCAAAGGCGGCAACGGAACTTGTGGGTATCCACACTTCGACGCCCTTATCAGTTCTTATCAGTTGCCACCACCTTCTTCCAACCAATCCCAATCTCTTGATTTCTGCCTCAACTTACATAATATTCATGAGCAGGGTCAACCCTACGTTGCGCAAAGAACAACGAGGGGGTCGCATTTGGCCGAACGAAAGGGGGGGTCGCATACAGAGGGACCAGGGGGTGAAAGGCTGGGAGGAATGGTCCCAAAAGACATGAAGTTACCATAAACTCAATAGTAATCATATTTCAGGCTTGGCTGTTTCGTACCGATCTCCCTGCATGAATTACTACATCGTGAAAAAATCTTTCTGTCTTCAGCACACTTCTATTTAGACCTAGCTTAATTATGAAAAAAGGTGGTATAGGTGCCAAACTTAGCAAGTCACCAATTTCCAGCGTATCGATTGAAATTCAACTGTGTAGAGCAGTTCATGGGAAAGTAAAACAACCATCAAACCATAAAACACACAATGGTACCGCAAAACATACAATGCAATTCGATCATGTACTATCACCTTCTTCGGGAAAGTGGAGGACCTTCAAATGCGAGTGCGACTTCTGCCCACAGACAGGTGCACGGCGTATACCCGAGCAGGCGTTTTCCCATAAAACGCCTTCTCTGTCAGCGGCCGTAAGCAGACAAACTTCCTGAAGAAAATTTTGATGCTTTCAAATCAAATCTAAGCGGAACAAAATGTAGCGAACTTGCTGAATTGAATTTCAAAGACCCCTTATGAAATTGAAGCAGAAGAAAGAATTCCATGAAAAGTTAACGCTAGTAATAAAGTACTCTTCGCGTAGATTCTAACGGTCTTTACCGCTTCTCATTTATGAAGTTTGAAGGAAGTTATGGGTTCTTGAATATTGCAATGTCGCGGTTCAGAAAAAGGCTTGAAAAAAGTCTATGAAAAAAACGGAACAACGGGACTATTTTTTGAACGAGTGATTTTTCAAAAAGTTTTAGCACTTATTCGAAAGCTCTAATCTTCTAGTTTCTAATTAGCCTTAGACATTCTGCAAAAAGTTGAATATGAAGAAAGTTATAAATGTTTGAATGTCGAAAACTCGCGCCTTCTCAAAAATCGGACCCCAAACCCCCCCGAACGGAACAACGGGACTATTTTTTGAAAGAATGATCGCTGGAAAATTTTCAGGTGCTTGTTTGAAAGCGCTAATCTTCTAGTTTCTAATTAGCCTTAGACATTTGCAAAAAGTTGATTATGAAGAAAGTTATGAATGTTTGAATGTCGAAAACTCGCGTGTGCACAGAAAACGGAACAACGGGACGATTTTTTGAAATATTGAACATCCGCAACATTTCAAATGCTTTTTTGAAAGAAAACTATTTGTATTTTTAAAATTTTGGTGTCCGGTTCCATGAAAACGCCTGTGGACGAAGATATAAGCTTTCAAAGAAGGCGCCCGTAACTATTGGAGATTTAGATTTTCCAGCTTCTACAAGAAACACGGTTGGACGTTGACGGAAATCTTGGCACATACCTGAAATTAGACCACTAGGAACATAACGGTACCTAGGTTTACAAAAAATCCTCTCAATTCCTCTAATAAAACTTTTGATATTTCATTTTGCCTCAAATCCGCGTCCCAAGCGAGTGGAAAACGCGCTCCACCCCACCTCGCGCCGCGGTAAGGGCGCGAATTCCTACATTCAAACTTTACTATTCGTTTTCCTGCCTTGTTTGCTGCTAGGAAAAGTACACATAGCGTGAGCTAGACAGCAACCAATCGGACGTCTCATATTCCTTGTCATTTCGCTGTGTCCAGTCGGACAGGGCACTGAAATAGACTCGCGGCTAAAGCTACAACGGAAAAAACGCTGGACGAGTTCCCCGGACGAGTTTTTCGCGCCATTACGGTTTGAATTTCAGGCTACTGTATAGTTCGTCGCGGGTCCTACGGCTCTTCTCCTCTACGTCGATCGATGACGGCCTTTTTCTTCGATTATGCATATTTTGACTGCGTACTTCGCTATTTTGATGCGAATTCATGTTGTCACTGCTGTATTCATATTCTGCTGTGCACCTATTCTGTTCTACTGTATTCACTGCTGCAGGATTTCACGACGCTGCCCTATTGAATCAGATTGTGTTCAGAGTATCCCCAAATTTGAACTTCCCAAAGTTTCGTCTATAATATTCCACTGCTTCTGTCTACATATTCATTCCTGTATTACTGCTTCGACTATTAATCACTAACATCGACAGGGTGAGTTTCTTTTCGTATTCAAACTTGACTAACTTTGTGTTATTTTCCAACGCTATTATAAGTCCTTAATATTCTGCAGTTGGGCCTTTGATTTACTCGTTTTTTTTTTTTCACAATTGGCCAGTACATGATTGAAACTAGGTGAAACGTTAATGATTGCAACCTTTTTCAATTTTGTGTTGGCTTGAACAGGTCCGCCATTTATTTCTTTAGAGTATACTTCGACTTACGGCTTTGCACCTCAGGTCAACAATAGTCTCAGGACTTCTGTCAACCGCGAGGCTTGGTAGGAGAGGAGAAGGCATACATATGTATGTATGCTTCCTCTTCTTGCGGATATCTTTTTAACTTGGCATTTCTACGCGGCCTTTTTCTTCGATTATGCATATTTTGACTGCGTACTTCGCTATTTTGATGCGAATTCATGTTGTCACTGCTGTATTCATATTCTGCTGTGCACCTATTCTGTTCTACTATATTCACTGCTGCAGGATTTCACGACGCCTGCCCTATCTGAACCAGATTGTGTTCAGAGTATCCCCAAATTTGAACTTCCCAAAGTTTCGTCTATAATATTCCACTGCTTCTGTCTACATATTCATTCCCGTATTACTGCTTCGACTATTGATCACTAACGAGTTTCTTTTCGTATTCAAACATTTTAAACGTCTTTTTCATGGTAACATTTTGACAGATCTTGTATTCTTTAAAAACATGATTGGGAGTTTTTTGCTCCCGCCTAGGTCGAAGTTGTGTTCATAACCCAGCATTTTTGTGAACTATTGAGTTTCTTTTCAATCTTCCAGTCGTCAGCACATTTGGTTTTTCATTGTTCAAATCAGTTTGCCGATGTAGGATTGAAACTTGGTGGAACGACTACGATTCCAACCCTTTTCATTCTTGCGCTTGCTGAACAAGATACCAAATTTCTAGATCAAGTTTCTCAACATCCTTTTTACTGCGCAGCGATCATCAAGCACCTCGCTTGATACAATTACTGTTCGGCTGATAATCACACTATTTTAGTGCGATTATTTGAATCACACTATTGCCACCATTAGAGATCCGACTCATCCCTCAGAATTTTCGCAACTATACAAACATTCCGTCCACCATAGGATGGTCCACTTAGGACCCATAGATGAGAATTTCCACATAACTTACCAGTGCAGACAGTCTGCTGTTATGAAATGTAGTGCTACAATCCTTCCTTGTCTGAATACTTTCCAAGAAATTTTGCACAGTAATGGTCTCTAATCAGTGTAGCTCTGGTATTTTTGTCAGTTTATGAGGTTTCTTGAAAAAATTTTCAAAGGCATATTTGAGGAAATGGGGAAATTTATTCTACGCATTCCGAATGCCCTGTCTGCCATAAGAAGTTTGTCAAGCGCAACCTTCTCCCTCACATGAGAAGATGTACACAATATTTCTTCCGACGAGGCTAAACAAATGTTGGTGCAGAGGAAAAAGACTGAATTGGAGTCCCAAGGGAAGCAGGTGGAGAATCTGCGAAGGGTGTGGGAAGTGTATTTTCGACGAAAAGAGGATTAAGTATACACGTCAGATCCAAGCACCCCATCGAAGCGGACGTTGAGACTGTAGAAGAGGCGACCCACATCCAGTGCTGCCTTTGCGAGCAGAGTTTTAGAAAACAGGAGGAGCTTAGTGAGCACTGTGGTGTAGAACATTTTGAAGAAGGAGCTCTTGGAAGGCTGCAAGACTACACATTACACGAGCTTTCTTTTCAGGATTCCGGGAGCAATACAAGGTCAGTAATCATATTAAGAGTCTTTTCATAACCAAAAAGCTTTTTAAGGACTGGCTGGACAGAATGTGTGACGTTCATTGCACGTCATTTTTCTGCAGGACAAGTAAGGAAAGCAGAAAGAAATTGTACATGCGGTTCGTTGGATTGTACTTCCTTGTATAAATTGCGTGAGAATGCAGTGTAAATGCAATAACAACTATACAGATGTAATGATGTGGTGAAGGCAGCTCTCAAGGTGAGCAAAGAATCCGTGCGAGCAAAAAGGCTCATTTGTATTGCTCAGCGTTTGCAAATGAACACTTCAACGATGACGAGACTGTGAATGTGGTAGGATGCTTCGGTCACATTGGGCATGACCTCGATCCGGCATTATTGCGATGGACCGACGAACAGCTAGAGTACTTACAACTCATGCTTCAAGGTACACTACGACATTGATGAGAAAGGCGCTTTGAAGTCTGCCTCACTTTCCGAAGTTAATGTTTCCTTTTTGTCTCCGTGATAAGAAACCAGTTTATACGGTCAGTATGACCTCTAGAGCTGCTTAGTTCGTATGCTACAGCGCGGGCAGCCGGCTGCAGCTCATAGTAACAGTGGTTCTTTTTCAATGCTCGTGACGCTCATTTTAGCGCACTGGACCATCCTCAGCTATCTTTTAAGCAAATTTGGTAACAGCTTGGTCATGATGCGGGCGCTAAGCATTTTCGCATCAAGTGGTCGTGATATTTGGACACTAAAGTCAAATCTGCTGAATTTTCACCCAAATCAACATTTTGAGTCTAACTTCTGAAAAGTGGTCTGTATGGAGCAGTCTTATGAAATTCGTTATACAGCCACACTTTTTAGAATTCTCATCTGACTACATTGTACGAAAGATGAGAAAAGATCACGAAGCGAAAGATTCGAAACTGTACTTCATAACTAAAAAGGATCTATGGAACATCATGGTAAAGTATAAACTCATGCCTGGAATGCGTGATAGGGATGATCTCACATCACTGGGGAAGAGGAGAGACGAACAAAATCCCGAAGACGGCATACGCTACCTTAAGATGCCGGACGAGCCGACTGGGAAAGGCTTCGTTCTTGGTAAGCTTTTTTTTCGGCAAAAGTGCAATGACTACTTTCAGAGAAAAAATTATAGTAGTCATTACGCCGATCCAGCAGAAATGGCTCGAACTGTACGGGCACAAGGGTATCTCGGTTGACGATACCCACAACGTCACCAGATATGCCTTGAAGCTAGCATCTGTGATGGTTGTGGATGAACGTGACCGAGGCCTTCCAGCAGGTATAACGGGTTCTGGCAACTCCCAAAAGAAGTATTTATTTCTTATTTAGCTTTTTTGCTGTCGGGTGAGATGACCTCGAGGGAAGTGAAAATACTTTTCGATGAGATCAAACGCATTGTGCCCAACTTTGCACCCAAGTCTCTGGTGACGGATGAGGCTTTGGCTTTTTACAATGGTTTCAAGTCGTCCTTCCCAAATGTCAATGTGGACCACTTCTTGTGTAGGTTTCATATCCTGCAAACGTGGAAACGTAAAACAAAGGAGTGTGTTAAGGTAAACATTCGCGTTCAATAAGCTTGCGCTGTACCCATTCCGTATTTTTAGCCAGAGCTGCAGAAGGGTATAATCGCAGCCTTCAGAAGCTTGCTTCGAATTGGAGATGAAGCGATAGTTCAAGCAAGGCTCACCGAAGTACTGACCCACTTGCGAGTCAAAGGCTGCTCGCGTCTAATCCTTTATCTCCAACGCGAATATCTTGGTAGGAGCATTTTCATCCTCAGACATATCAACGTAGTTTCGATTTAAGGGCAAGAGAAAATCAAAAAGTGGGCTGCATTCCAACGGAGAGGTGCAGTTATGAGCACTTCGATGTTTGGAGAAAGATGGCATCTCCGAATTAAACAGGAACAGCTTAAGAGAAAGGCTAATGCTAGAGTCGACTACGTTGTCGATATGCTTGATCAAAGCAGTACAAGAATTGGAGGTCGAATTCGAGATCACTGTGAGGAATTCTCTTGTTGATAGTTGAAGGAAAAGGGTACCTTTCCATTTATAGGACCGCAGGCAGCTCACTTCTTCATTCCGCGTGAGGGAGAACAATGTGCAGCACAGACTAGCTGTTCGACTGTACAAGGAGAACTCAGACAGAAATTCATATGGTTGGAAACCTTGCGTGGAATGTAGACGCCACGACCTCTGACATGGTCTATCGTGTTGAATTCGAAGAAAACTGCAATTGTTCTGACCATGTCGAGATCAAGCGCTTTCTATATTGAAACACAAAATAATGTTTTATATTAAGGCAAACACTCACTGCTCTCGGTGTCAAGTATGTCCCTATGCTGTGACGTGCTCATGCAGAGCTGGAGCTCTTGCTGGAGTAGCATGCTCTCACAGTCATGCAGTGAAACTTTATGGTATAAAACTCCCGATATGTCAATATAAATCTCACTGCCGCTCGAATAGTCTGCATTTAGGAGCACAACCTGTTGTGGAACCACCTGTTCAACTGACACTGCAAACCGAACCACAGGAAGTTGAGATACAATACTGTGGTAGAGAATTGAGACCTACTCGTGACGTGCGTGGGGATTTGCACGCGATGCGTGATGAAGTTGCCAAGGTATAATTTGTAAGCACTGGGAAAAAACTAATGCAATAGCGCCCCTTCCAGATCTATGCCTTGATAAACGCGAAAGTGAATGCTCTAGTCAGAAGAGGAGATGAAAGCTCCTTGGAAACTTTATCTGGAATCGTCGAGCGTATGCGCAGTGTGGCCGACGGAATTGAAGTGCCCACTGAACCAACAATACTTCTCGCTAGACCTGATGTGCCACTCACTGGAGGCAGACCCAGATTACAGAAAGCAGAAATGTATACGGTGGGGTATACAAGTCGCTTTCGAACTCGTCATAGTTGTTCTATGTTATATAATTACAGAGGGCACAAGTTCGAAAGCAGACGAGAAAGCCAGTAGATAAATCAGCTGAACATGTATGGGTAGACCCTGAAGAAATTCTGGTTTGCTCTCTGCTCTGCTATGAGGAAGATCCTGTTCTTCCTGAAGACATGGACCCAGAAGAACAGACACCGAGCCATAACAATGATGCGATGTACCCGTCGTGTTTGTTGGATAATGTGTGTGTACGAGCCATTCACTACATTATGCGAATGTTTTATTTGGCAAATTTAATGTTCGACAAACGTATAAACGCTTCACCTTCAAGTATGTTCAAAGGAAAACTATACTTAGTGAGCAGAAGCCACGAGTACCAAGACCTTAGATGGTTCACGATCCAAAAATGCCGTGATCTCAACTAAGACCGATGGACTCGTACTTGGCAGTTCACCTACCTAGGCAGAGTTGGTGAGTATAACGAGAATACTAGTAAGGGGTGAGGCACTTCTGTGAGGAACCAAAGAAGCGCGCAAATACTTAAGACAACGTTAAGATTCCGGATGGCATTTGAATCGGATGCGACTGACATTGCCTTCCCGCGCAAAATTAGTTCGAACTATCGCTTCTGGGTCATATGAATGTTACATAAACTGACCTGCCACTCTGAGTAATACATATAATGTACTCAGATGTATTGAATAAATGCCAAGTTAAAAAGATATCCGCAAGAAGAGGAAGCATACCATACATATGTATGCCTTCTCCTCTCCTACCAAGCCTCGCGGTTGACAGAAGTCCTGAGACTATTGATGACCTGAGGTGCAAACAGGCCGTCAACCCTATCGTTGTTACTCTTGGACATTTACGACCCCCCCCTTCATGGGTGATTTGATACGACCCCCCTTGTATGTGACACTTGTGTAGAGACAGTGTTTACCCATCAATATTTATTTCTACGTAAGTCATCAAAGATGAAACTTTAGCAAAATCCACGACAGATATTCATCGCTGCTTCCAAACACGAAAAAATGAGATGCATTCAAAGATATCCGTGTACTCCAAAGGGTTACCAAACTAGGAGATGAAATAAACTGAACCAGTGACCGGAATATTGACAGTATTACCTGATAAAAACTTATGAGAAGTCAGAAAAAATTATCGCTCCAATTGAAATACTGAGAATCCTTCACGTTCTTCACTTGCAACACAATTTTTACACCCCCCCCTTTCTAAGGCTATAACTTCCTTCATATTCGAGCTTCAGCGCCGAAGTGATTTGATTTGGAAAATTCAAATTATTCTCTCTCCAACCATAGGTAAAAATTCTTCGAAAGTTAATTTAATAAAAATTTAGTACGTTGTTACTTTTTTCTGTGCAAAGCGACTTTTTGACCTTCAATCGATAACTTCTTCAATCATTTCTCGAAAACGCGAGTTTTCTTAGGTTTCACTGCCCGTAACTTCTTGGAAGACCAATTTTATGTTTAATTTAGGATGCTAGAAAGCTCCGAGCATGCGCTTGCACTACATCCCTTGCCTTGGTGCGCGCCACGCCTCGGGCGCCCTTCTAATTCGCTGATTCATTTGAAAGCTCATTTAGAGGGAAGCGTGTTTATAGATGCTCTAGTACCAGTCATCTTACGAAAACGTAACGTGCTGGCTATTATCCGATATTACCAAGAATCCCACAGTCGGCCACCGAGATTGTACGACCCCCCCTTCAAGTTCAACTGAGTACGACCCCCACGTTGTTACTCGTAACCACAGTAGGTTGACACACTGGGTGCAACAAGCATAAGCTAAGTTATACTCTAAGAAATAAATGGCGGACCTGTTCAAGCCAACACAAAATTGAAAAAGGTTGCAATCATTAACGTTTCACCTAGTTTCAATCATGTACTGGCCAATTGTGAAAGAAAAAAAACGAGTAAATCAAAGGCCCAACTGCAGAATATTAAGGACTTATAATAGCGTTGGAAAATAACACAAAGTTAGTCAAGTTTGAATACGAAAAGAAACTCACCCTGTCGATGTTAGTGATTAATAGTCGAAGCAGTAATACAGGAATGAATATGTAGACAGAAGCAGTGGAATATTATACGAAACTTTGGGAAGTTCAAATTTGGGGATACTCTGAACACAATCTGGTTCAAATAGGGCAGCGTCGTGAAATCCTGCAGCAGTGAATATAGTGGAACAGAATAGGTGCACAGCAGAATATGAATACAGCAGTGAAAACATGAATTCGCATCAAAATAGCGAAGTACGCAGTCAAAATACGCATAATCGAAGAAAAAGGCCGTCATCGATCGACGTAGAAGGAGAAGAGCCGTAGGACCCGCGACGAACTATACAGTAGCCCTGAAATTCAAACCGTAATGGCGCGAAAAACTCGTCCGGGGAACTCGTCCTGAGTTTTTTCCGGTGTACTTTTAGCCGCGAGTCTGAAATAGCGGATATTTGTTGACATTCATTTTTTTATTTGTTGCAGCAATTTTATATGGAAGATTGAAGAGACCATAAAATGTACTCGGGGGTACATTTTAGCCACCGTCTATGGTCTCTTCAATCTCCATCCACTTTCTCCTTTCTCTGCCGGCTCGCCGTTTTGGCAAATTGCCACGCCGTCTTTCTGCGTCCTGCCATGCCCATTGATCCGCTGGTCCCCTCTCCTCCCGGACGGCTGTTCTCTTATCCCCCCTCACCGCATCCTTCCAAGCAGTGCAATTCAGCGTTAACTTGGCGGCAGCTGTTGTATCAGTGCCGTCCGGTTCTAAGGTGTATAGCATAGAGAGTTCAATTCCGGCGATTTGCTCAGAAATTTTACCTAACATCGTGCGTGCAGTGTTCGCCCTGTTTCCATTACCTATGGCATCCTTCCCTTGTTTGTCCCTTTTCAGCCCGTTACATCGGATGCGATGCGGCGATGTGTTAGCCAATTTGCGCGATCTTCACGCGACGGTCATCGTCACGAATCACTTAGTGTCCGATACTGGCACGTCAATGTGTACCCGCACACTTCTCCCTGATAGTCGTGCTGAATGACACGAGTGCTCATTTTCCCCATCGCAAGATAGTTAATGGGCCTGTAGTATGAAAAGTAGTATTAAGCTAGTTTGGTCTGGTGTCAGAGTCCGCGATCCGTCGCAGGTTATATAAGAATAGAAGATGATAAGAATAAAAGGAAACAATGGAAGAGACATACAGTAGCGCTCAATATTCTCTCCAACAACATGCTTTTCTGTCCACTACCTTTTTTGGATCAATTTTTCGGCTTGAACCTTGTAGGTTCGCACTCCGAGTGTAATGAAGAAAGTAGCTAATCTGATTAATTTTATCTATCAGCGGTAGATGCTTTTGCTGATAATTGTACGCCTTCATATAATAGAACTTAAATTTCACGTGTGGATTTCGGTCATACTCGAGCATTTTTAAAGTAAAGATTTTTTTCTTTCTAAATTTTTTCTCCCACTCAACAGTAATACACTTGCTAAGTGTAGAAGGTTTGCTTCTCAAAAATATCGAACATTGAACTGATTTGATCCGGCAGACAGAAACCGATTAGCCGAATATTTCGAACGTTATCCTGTTGCTCTCCTATTGCTTTTCCTTTTCTTTTATTCTAGTCTTGTGAACTATACGCTGCCTTAAATTGTTGACTGGTTTTTTTGGCAGGTTTCCTATTCCGACTGCGCCTCTTTTCCACGTTCCGGGTCTGTGGCACCTTTATTGCGAGTAGCTTCCAAGATCATCTTCTCCTCTACAAAGCAAACATTGAACGCCGAATTATATATTTTCTGATTTTTTTTTGATTTTTTCTTGTACAACAGAGTGAATTGTGCTTTCTTTGTTGAACCAGCATTTCATCACGAGGCAGCCAGGCTTTTGTTTGTTCATGTTAATCTAAACGAGCAAATTGTCTTTTCCGGCATTGAAGTCAGCTATTGCTCCACACATCCGACGAACTTGCTTTCATGAAGACAAGTTGTCATATCACGGGTTAGAAAAATGCTCCGTGAATATGCAGTGGTGCGCAAGCACGGAGCATTTGCAAAAGTGGCTGCATGGGTTGACAAGCGTTTCACGCCATGAGACCAGGACGAAGCAGTGACGTTGCCCCAGCCCCATAGAGCCCGCCCCAGTTCAACGTGACACTCCTCCACAACGTGGGAAAGTTTAACGTTTAACTATTGTTCGGAAAGTTCTGGGATAACATTTGATAATATTTAGCAAATTTCAACTGCAAGAATCAGCGCTGAAGCTTGTGCTACGACCACTCTCAAGAACATATTTATTCAAACCTATGAGCATCGAAAAAATCATAAGAGACAAGAAGAAAGAGCAGAGAAACAGAAAATAATAAGAAACAAGCAAACAGTTTTCTGTGCTGTTTTTTAGCCGTGCCGATTGATGGTGAACCAACAGTTGCTGAAAGCCGTTCAGACTCGTCCTCCCAGCACTGGCTTGTTTGCATCTAAGCAAGAGGTGCCTCCTATTTTGGATTCTTACACGGTTTTTCCTGCTTTTTCTTTACTGTCGACTCAGTATTCAATACAGCATACATCAGCAGGTAAGTGCTCTCATTCTATCCCAAAGCTTGCCCTCAATCGTTAGCTCGTCTGAAACGGAAATCGACGAACAAAATGGGGGTCGCGTCTTTGAAGTCCAAATCATCGTTTATCGGCTCTGCTTTCATTTCCAACTACTACCAATCCATCGTATTACCGTCCTTTAAGACACCTCATATAACGCACTTTCACTCGATTCTGTCATGAACAAGATGAATTTATTATGGCAAATTATTCACAACTAGTGTTCTTTGCAAAATTATCAAATCACACGTATTCAAAACTTCGCGTGCTGAATGAGTAAGTGCCATTAAGGTAGTCGTGTTGTTGTTGTTATAGAATTTTTCACCATATGGTACAACGCTTCTTTGGATTCATCTTCGATTCCGGAGAACAATGAAACGCTTCGGCGAAGGCAGGTAAATTTGGAACAACTTGATTAACCCTAGAATATATATGTGATGAATAACGTGAATTGTTCAGATTACATGCTCAGTATTAGGTTGTAAAGAAGGTTCTTCCCGTTGCTGACAGTTCAAGGTTCAATGCATTATTTCCGATTAATTTTCCGGCTGACTACTACATTTTGCATACCAGGACGAGGGAAGGATTCCACTAAGGTAGAAGAACGAAGAAAAGCAAACTTATCTGGTTGAAAAAAGGCGGACCCTTAAAAGTACGAAACGGCACGTAATTTGGGATATGCCCGACGATCGAGCTGGCCCACCCCGTGGGGCAAAAGTTGAATTATCAAATGTTGTCAAGAAAGCGTAGATAGTAATGATCGTACTATATACATACCAGTTCAGCGCGGCACGCTACCGCGCGCATGAAACGGAAGGCGTAGGTGAACAGGACAGCCGATAAAGCGTTAGATTCACCGCTAAACATTGAGTTGCTTCGTAAAATGCGTTAGCTGACCGTTCCATAGGCTGCCATCTTTGCAGAAGCTCACCGTTTGATACGCGCAGTGGAGTGCGGAGCTAAAGTGGTGTCTGTAAACAACCACCATGCATCGAATGTCAGTGTAATTTAGCGGTCGGATTGTGTTTGATGTTGAAATAGAAACATCCAGCACTCGTTATCGTATTTTTGAACATCCACCATACATTTTTAGGAACTCTGGGGAGCGTAGCGGTCTAGTGGTATTTCGGGCTGATGATAACAACGCAAATGAAAGAATATTGAAATGAAATGCTTTATCTAAAGTCTGGTTTTGAGTGACCTCTATATTCTTGCGCATATCGTTATTATCGGCCCTTATCAGCCGTTATCACTTTCTTCCCCCACCAATATGTTCCCGTCCTACCCTCTACATCACTTCTTGGAACCAACGCCTCACTGATGCTGGGACGCGCGCTATGGATATCGTGAAATTAGCGTTTTGGCGCCTCTTATCGGATCTTCACCTGTATATCACCTGTCGTCCCGTTGATCGTCGATTTGCTCGAGCGGGCGCCAGCAACGTCTCCATTCGTCCCTGTCGCGTGCTAGAGTGGTCCAGTGGATCCTCCTTGCTCGAGGGACACGAAGTCCATCATTCCTTTCGTTCAGAGCTTTCGTGAAGAAGTCTGACCATCGGGCCGGCGGTCGTCCAGGTGTTCGTTTGACGTCCCGAGGGATCCAGTCGGTAACCGCTCTGGTCCAACGGTCATCGCAAAATCGCATGACGTGTCCGGCCCACCTTATCTTCGATTCCTTGGCGAAAACGGCAGCGTCCCTGATCTTCGATCGTTGGCGTAGTTCGAACTCCGGATTCCCCTCTGCACTTGCGTGTATAGGGTTACTCCTAGCATCGTCCTCTCGACAGCGCGTTGGATAACGCTGACCGCATGCTCGTCCTGCCTGCGCAGAGTCCAAGTCTCTGAGGCGTAGGTTAGGGCAGGAAGGACAGCGGAATCGAAGAGGTGGGCACGGAGCCGGATGTTCTTCGTCTTCTTCACTACTCCCTCGATGTTCTTGTACGCTCCCAAGCCGCTCGTTTCCTCCTGCTCAGCTCTGGAGCTAGATCGTTCATCATATTGATTTCCCGACCTAGGTACACGTAGCTGGAGCATTCGGTGATGTTCGTTCCGTTGAGCGTGAATGGGGCATCAGGAACCAATCCGTTTCTTCTTATAAACCGTTATAACTTTCAACAAAAGATTCGGTTAACCGTCCCCACCGCCGTACAACAATACTTAACAATACAGCGCTCCACTCTTGCAGCAAAGCACGCTTTGAATTTCGTGACAAATAGACGTACACGCATACGCACGCACAGACATACTTAGCGAATTACAGTCGATATCCGAAAGTTGGGGTAGGCGTGTCACCGGAAGTGACGTGCACTTGATAGAAGTTGCGTGGATAAGCTGTTGCCAGCATGCTTTGCTGATATCCAGCGATGTATGTTGGAAGCAGCTTATCCACATAGCTTCTATCAAGTGCACGTCACTTCCGGTGACACGCCTACCCCAACTCACGGATATCGAGTATATATATGTATGTATGTATGTGGTATGTATGTATGTATGTGTGTCCGTCCGCAAAATGAAGTGAGTGAGAAGGAAGCTCATGGGATAAACAAACCGCTAACAAATCGGGTAGCTTACAGGATTTGAGATATCAATGTTTTGTAGCAGGATAATTGTGATAACACTCTACGGCTATATAAACACCTGCTGAGCACACTTCCGGTCATTCCACATGGTGCTGCAGTGGCAGCTGGAGGGCAGTGGAGGGAGGAGGGGAGGATGGGGAGGGAGGCGGAAAACCAATCACCAACAGACCTAAGGTGCAGATAGGTATTGATACGTCATTCTACTGTCATGTCGTGATTATGGCGATGCCGTCTACTACTCTTTTTTGTTCCATAGGCATCGCCTCCACGCCTAGCCAACAGAGCATCCATACTTACAAGTGTTATGTGGGGTGGGACGGGGACATTGTTGGTTAGGTGAAGGGGAAGTGATAATAATTGATAGAGGCTGTCAGAGCGCCTCAGAACACAAAAGTTGTCATTCCTTTGCGCAGCCCCCGTTGACACTGTAGTTTTTACTTACAAGTGACACGTAGGATGGAAAGGGGACATTGTTTGTCTGTAATGGAGTATGATCGCAAATGATGAGGGTGTCTTAGGTCCTTAGTTTCGTTACCTAGCCTAATTAACATTAGCGCATCCATACTTACAGGTGATAGAAATAGTGAAGTAGTGAACATTGTTTGTGAGTGAAAGAGGATGATAATAACCGATAGAAGCCGATAAAGAGCCTTAAAACGCAAATATCGCCATTCTGTTGCGCAGCCTACGTTGAAACTAGAGTGCTCTTGCTTAAAAATGTTCTATGGGGTGAGACAGGAACATTGCCTATATATAATCTATTTGGCTTGGGCTGGTTTGGCGAATGATGCATTTCATTTCCAGATAATACCAAGAGGGCCAGAATTCATCAAGCCGCTAAACTTCAGAATTTTTGAACGATATGAATGTAAATCAAAGATAAGCATTAGATCTCACTTATGTAAGGAGCATATTTCATTTTCATTTTGAGGCTAACAGCAAAATCCTATTCACCGCTAAATTATCAGAATTCAAGAAAATGCTGGTGTTTACAGAGTTGTGATAAATATACCAGCTCAGCTTCGCTTTCACGCGCATCCATGATGGACTTCAATGAAACTGGAGAGCCTGCGGAACCTTAGGTCATTCGACTGCATATCCAATAGTGAGGTGCTTTGTGGAGTAGATCAGCAGATGTTCCACAGGTCCTCCAGTTTCGCTGAGGCATACCGTTTGATGCGGGTGGAACAAAACTGATAAGTGACAGCGTTGTGGCTGAGTCGAGATATGCACACTTGAATTTCAAGGTTAAGGCATTTCCTTACAACCTAATACCAATACATACGACACAATAATTACTTTCCAGTATAAGGGCAGCACAACTGCTTCTAGTGTAGTGTTCACGTGCATAATAAGAACGAATCCTGAAGAAAACGTAAGGAGAGTTGACGAACCTGTACTGCCCAGGCGCATGCAGACTACCAAGTTGTTCATACAGAGTGAACTCCGATGTTTTTCTACAGCTTTTCTGAAACAAATTAGCTCTCCACTCACCCATATAAGAATGCGAGGAAAGAGAAAAAAATGTAAAAAAGCGTCCCGAAGGTGTCGCAAAGGATCCCTCAGAATCCCATTGAATGTTTTCATCATTATATGCCTTTATTTCTTTCTGCAAGCAGCTCCAGCCAAAAAAGTTGCTCAGGAGGTGGAGGGTTTTTCGAAACGTTTTGTTATGGTAACCATTGAATCCTACTTTTGGAAGATATACCTGTCGATGTGTTTTGTATAGCAATGTTCCCCTTCGCTAGCCACTAACGAAGCTTGGATAGTCAGATGGCCTGTCGAGATTTTATCATGGATTTCATCCCTAGACCATGTGCGTGGTCCTAACCTTTTTGCCACTACACCGGCCTTACTAAGAAAAACTAGAACTTGATCACTTGACGAGTCCTTTTTCTTTTTTCTCTTCCATCTCGCCACGTTGCATGCCCCGCACACCGATGGCTTTTGACATTCGTTCCTTCGTCACCCTCCATACACTTTGCTCCTCGTACATGGACTGTCTTCGAACAGTTTCACACAATTGGATGCAAACTCCGCTCACCATTTGCGTTTGATATTCCCCTCGCCAACTTCTACCCCATCTCCTAATCTCTTTGGACCAAAGTATGAAGTACCGTGGCGTACTTCGCCCACTCTGACGTCCCACCCACCAATAGCATTTGACCTTCCATTCCTCGTTAATCTCTACCCCCTTTTTTCCCGTGTCCCGGACTTCTTGGAACCAAGATATACTCTGGCTACAGAACCGCCCACTCCTCTTTTTTCACACCACTTTTATTCTGAGGAGTAAATTCGAAATTTTTTTTGAATAAACGGAGACTAAAACAAAACAACTCGAAAAAATGGTTTTAAAAGTGTTTCAAAAATTTCTTCCCGAGGTAAATATTTAAAAACAGGTGTCTCTACATATGTTCTCAAAAATCCGTAGGAAAGGTCCTCACTGATTTGTCTGTACACACGTGTCTTAGATAGCACACTGGACAACTGCTACGACAATGCATCTTTGCTCTTACCATAGCAACACCGAGGAAGAATAACTGATCCGCATCGAAACCACTGACAGACTCGATTTTTGCAGCATCTTCGTGTTTCGCGAGATACAGCTTGTATGCCTGTTCAGGAGAAAATCAGTTATTTCATACTATATTAGAAAAAGCATTTTCGGAGAAAGCAATACATATGCTCCTGATAAAACTCTGAAATAGATGTACAAACGTACACCTATTTCAGAGTTTATTAAGAGCATAAATTCGTATCAGTCCAAGTCGATTTTTTATTGCTTATGCAAACCAGGGATTTGGTACCACACACTAACGCTTGCGTCATATGGATATCGATATCCAACAATAGTGAACAGAGCAGCTAAAATTTCAGCTTGATGCTCACTCCACCAAGCCACGAGGATCTTCCTCCTTTGCTAGTGCGAATTTTGCAAAAATTCTCCTCCCGGATGAATTTGAAAAAAATCTCCAGGTGGAAAATATTGCAGGTACAAATTTGCAATTTTGCAACACAAATTTGTTGCTTTGGAACATGATAGAGAATTCTCTGATCTTTTTCGAGGGATCGCTCTGGCTTATATCGCATCATTACACATCCACCCATATTTTTGCTCAATTAAACTTTTTGTTGTTATCAGCACTTCTTCTCTAGGTGAAAACAAGAGGGAAATCGTCATCAGAACTCAAATAAAGGCGAAATGCGTAACAAAAATCGTGAATGAGTTGCAAAGCAGTCATATTGCACGGAATTTTGGGCCGTATTTACTTTGAACTTGCTAAATTCTTTAGGCATTGTGCAGTATGGGAGAAAATCGAACCTTGAAGGCCATCCTTTGCCTCCAGCTTCAGGTAGACACCGCAGCATTTCAGTATTTGAAACTTGTTATTCCAGCAAGCATCTGTTAGGCGTGTGTGGCAAATCTGCAAACTCGTCCACGAGTGGGAACCACTGATAGTACTTACGGTTTGTCTTCTTTTATTCTTTTACGAAATCGTCGCTACAAGAAAGAGTTATTCAGAAGCCGAAGGGCGAAGCCGACTCCAGTCGGCATGGCTTTACTCCATGACAAAATTGGCTTGGTTTTTGCGATGTTGCATTGCCTTGAACAATGCCTTTTCAAGATAAGGCGCTTGATGGATTAGATCGTGAATCTCAACTACCTTAATCTTACCGCGTTCTAGGCCTCAGAAGACGACGATTTTGTCGAAACGCTAAGCCGGTTGAAAAATGTTTCCACCTATCAACCTCGAACGGCAGAAAAGCGAACACAAATAATGCCTAGTACATACATTTCCCGCTCTTGGATGAACTTGCAGTTTTGTCACATACGCCGAACAGATGCGTTTGGATATTTCCAAATTTCATAAGTTTCAAATGAGGCGTGATTTCCTAATACAAATTGATGCGATTGTTCGATTTTATTGTGGCTATGCTTCTCTGGAGCCAGAGGTAAAGGATGGTCTTCGGTTCGTTTTTATTCCATATTCTGCACAATGCCTGGAGAAATTGTTTAGTTCAAAGTAATACACCCTAAAATCCGTGTAGTGTGACTGCTTCAATCTCTTTCACGATTTTCCCATATGCCTTTGTTCAAACTCCTATGATGATTTCTCTCTTGTTTTGACCTAGGGAAGAGTGTTGATAACAATAAAGAAAAACTGAGCAGAAAGAAAAGCAACAGGAAAATATGGGGTGGCTGTATAATTATGCGGAATAGGCCAGAGCGGCTTTTTAAAAAAATTGCAGAGAAAACTTCTTTTGTGCTTTCAGAAGCTGAACTTGTGTTGGTGTGCAAAATTGCATTCATACCTACAACCTTTTCCATATAGAGACTTTTTCGAATACATCTCGAGAAGGGAGTTTTTGCATTCGTTCGTAAATTCGTAAGTGGATGTATTATAGGTTGGAAAGAAAGTCCTGCAACACTTTTTCAAATTTTTGATTTTAATTTTATCTTTTTTGGTTACAACTCCTGACCGGTCTTATATCTACCATGAGTGTCCACCACTTGTCTCCATCGCTCAGAAAATTTCTTGATGCCTCCTTTGCCAAAACCCAGCGGAGTGCGAGTCGAGAAAGGAGGCGACCTCACTTTCGAGTTGGAGTTGATCGTCTGATTATTTCGTTATAAAGATGATGATTAAAGGTCCAGGATAGGTAGCACTTATTTACAGCTCGACCAGGGGATTACGCTAAGAGAGGAAAGAAATCTTGCCGCAACTCCAGAATTTCTTACCGGGCTCATTTCGGATCATGGTGATTCGCAATGTCATGAAAGAAATGAATATTGTCGCGGTACGAGGGCTCCTGACGAGCTGCTTCGGCCAGCTTCTGGAGTTCCGCAGCCTAGACCTCTAGCTACACAATGGTGCCCATAAAAGAAGAATCTGTGTGGAGCTTCTGTAAGAGCCCTACCTGTAATGGAGTGTGAGGGATGCTGCTGGCTTCTTATAAAAATATCAAAAGATCGGAAGCGCTGGTAAAGGTGAAACACGCTGTATCGCGCTGAACGGCATGCCATTAGAAGCTATTGCAGATAGTGTCAGTCGTTGACACGAATCCATGGTTTTGTAGACATTTGTACTAGACAGTGACTCGGAGTACGGATTTGCTAGTGGTCGAGATTTTTTGAATTTTCTTGGATAACTACTGACTGCAGAACTTATATCCACCTCGTGGATTGAAGCCTTGAGAATGCTCTATCATTTGGTAGTCATAAATGTTACCTATGAATTTTTCAGAAAAAAAGAAAATTTTGGAAAGAGTGTTGCAGAACTTTCTTTCCAACCTAATATAAGCATGGCCGAGGCAAAGTGTAGTTCTAGGCAGTCTCGGTTTCGTGGCAAACTTTAACCGCTTTGGTGTACACTCCACCCACCGACAGAAAATAATCTTCCTTCCTTCACGAAGCTCAATAAATCTTAACCAATCTCTGACAGGCGAATTGTGAGAAATATGGAAAGCCGCCTATCCGAGGACTTGGGCCAAATTGTGAACTAAGCCAAGCGCCGGTTTCGAATACACGAACGGAAAGGGTCGCATTAGGCTTGTGGAGTGTGGGACAGGGTGAAAAAGTCGCGAATGAGAAGAAGACACCGCGTCGTCGGCGGATTCTTTCACGCCTATCACGCGGATGCTCACTCTCACCAGCTGCCAGCTGTCTGTGTTATCCGCGCATTCATTCACTCTCGACACTACTCTCGCATGGTAGGGAGCCATGGTCGAGGGAAATCCTCGACCGTTATTCACCCTAGGGTGGAGGATCCTAATCGTATAGGTCCAACCACTCTATCGCCTTGTCTCCCTGCTTTACCGCTCCTGTTATGAAAGCCGATTGGAGACAGTGGCGTCAGGGTAGAGCTAAAAACTAGGCATTTATGTCACTCGATTGGTACGATGAAACGAGGGCACTGCTTGGCGTTGCAAGGAGAAGAAAGGGTTGCCATCCATGCAATTTCAATGGGAATAGATGACATCTTTAGCTTCATGCTTTCATCATAACACGAAAAGTCTCAGAATGGCCGGCTTTCACGAGGCAAAGCAGGAAGAAATACACTGCGTCCCATAATTATAACTCCACCCAAGAATTTCCCAAAATCTCACAAATTTAGATGTTTTAGAAAAAGTCTCTAATGTGGCAGTGTGTCAAATACAAATACGAAATCCCTATAAGCATCATCTTCCAACTTGAGATCCCAGGAATTTTTTCTAATAATTTTTGTTCAAAAGGCCACTTGGCCAACGTCCCAAAATTATAACTCCACCTCATGTTTTTCTATTATTTTTCACTTCCGTTTCGCCAAACTTTTTTAATGTGCTAACATCCTACTTCTCAAGGGGACAGTATGATAGAAAATGCTGTCTGACTTTTTAAAAGGTCAGGTCGTCGCAAAAACTACTAATTAGGCAATCGCACAAGATTTTGACCAAATTCACGAGGAGCTCGAGAATTTTTTCAGGGATTTTACATGATATGGAGTTGAGAAGAGCTCCAAAGGATCTCCCTTGCTTTTCGGTAGAAACAAAGGCCGTGTCACAGAAGAAACATCCTTTTTTATGAAGCCGTGCTCTGCCATCAAATCTTCTTCGGAACTTAATGGCTCAACGGAACAATGTTTTTGCTTGCGAATAAGTCCCAAGTTGATTCTCGAGTGGAAAACGTGGAAGGCATCATCTGTGGTAAGAAACCATGGCGGAATTCTTGCTGAGTTTTCCGGAAAGGTGCATCCGAGCCGACTGTAGTAAGGTTCGCTCTTACTTGCGATTCATTACTGATTGTCTGTCTTTCTCTTCGGCATTTTCTTTCTCCTGGTAGTGCTTCGCGAAGAGAAAAGCTACTAAGGATGAGAAAAGCACGAAAAGAAAAACAAACAAATGCTAAAACATATCGAGCAAAAGCGAACCTTACTCCAGTCGGCTCCGTTGCATCTTTCTGTGAAAATGGGCTCAATTTTCGCCATGGTTTCCTGCCACAGATGATGCCTTCCACGTTTTCCACTCGAGAATCAACTTGGGACTTATTCGCAAGCAAAAAACATTGTTCCGTTGAGCCATTAAGTTCCGAAGAAGATTTGATGGCAGAGCACGGCTTCATAAAAAAGGATGTTTCTTCTGTGACACGGCCTTTGTTTCTACCGAAAAGCAAGGGGAGATCCTTTGGAGCTCTTCTCAACTCCATATCATGTAAAATCCTGAAAAAATTCTCGAGCTCCTCGTGAATTTGGTCAAAATCTTGTGCGATTGCCTAATTAGTAGTTTTTGCGACGACCTGACCTTTTAAAAAGTCAGACAGCATTTTCTATCATACTGTCCCCTTGAGAAGTAGGATGTTAGCACATTAAAAAAGTTTGGCGAAACGGAAGTGAAAAATAATAGAAAAACATGAGGTGGAGTTATAATTTTGGGACGTTGGCCAAGTGGCCTTTTGAACAAAAATTATTAGAAAAAATTCCTGGGATCTCAAGTTGGAAGATGATGCTTATAAGGAATTTCGTATTTGTATTTGACACACTGCCACATTAGAGACTTTTTCTAAAACATCTAAATTTGTGAGATTTTGGGAAATTCTTGGGTGGAGTTATAATTATGGGACGCAGTGTATTGATAGAGCCTCAGAGTTTTCGTGTCGCGTAAGTATGAGATTGAGCCGTCGTTATCCACCGTTTTTGCCAGGCTCTTCGATTTTTTGCTGTTATTTTTGAAGATTATGATGTTCTCTGAAAGCGCTCAATCTCTTGTATATTTTGGTGTACAACACTTGTGTAGTTGTTTCATTCGAGCTTATACGCGAGCAAAAAAGATTTTTAGCGCTAGTCACAATGTGGCCGTAGTGAGGTCGAAATCGAGTGTTCCTAGCAAGCCTGCATCCGTAGAATCAATGAGGCTTGGGAAGAGGCACGGTTGCAGAGTGGACTGTTCGAGACCGTTGTTGCTACTCATTAATCTTTGTTCTGTTTTGCTAATAAATTTATGAGTGAAATGAAAAACGGCGTATAATTTTTGTAATCTAATAGGACTATTTTCGTCCAACGTTTGAATTAAAAATTACAAAACGAGCGAGATGATTATTTTCGACACATCCCGTTGTACTCCCAAAGCAAAATCGCAAAGTGCAATCACATGGGAAGGACCGACTTCTGTCGGCTGGAAACAAAAGAATTTACAAAAGCAAGATCTTCAGGGGGCCTCTTCGAAGTGAGTTTGGGATAATATGGAAAGCACAGATACATTATACATATATGCCTTCTCTCTTTAATAACAAGCTTTCTAAAAAAATTATGCTTGTATTTTATGGGGTGGATGTCTGCTCCTATGTTTCTAAATTGTAGGTGATCTCCCAATAAGTTTTGCATTTGAATTTCGAAACATTACAAGGTGGGTCAAAATTATCAGGACAAAGATACATAGCACCTTATCAAAATCCATAGTAGATTGATGGAACAAACGAACCACAGATAAGTGTTTGTTACAGATATCACAAAAAATCCAGAATAGGATCGAGATCTGCCACCTGCTGCGCATGCACGAACCTTCAGATGAAGGAGGATGGCGCGTGCTGTGGCAGCGTGTCAAGTTTCCACACCTTATACTTTGCCTTCTTCAAGTGATCGAAGTATTTTTTTAGAGTTTTCGTCTGGGCTCGCCTCCGGTGTAACATTTAGAAATCTGGAGATATTGGTTAGAGGTTCCAATACAGTGCGTATCGCAATTACAAGGTCACCCAAAAATTTTGCATTTCCAGGAACTGCAGTAAACCGAGGATTTTCTTAGTATCACCAGCTGATTTGCTAGTATGAATAGCCCCTTAGTCGCAGTTTTGGCGGGAGCAGCTTTTCTTCCAAATTTTTTATGATTACGTTTTGGTTATTTATTTATTTTTTTGGTTGTTCTGTAAGAATTATAGAGTCACCTGTGAAAATGAATACTACATCATGAGAAACAACGAGCCTGACTGTGAAACCAAATATTTGTTACAAAGACATCAATTAGCCAAATTCCTCGAGTATTTCGGATTCGTCTTCCGAACGAAAGGCGAGGTTTATGCATTTTGTGGTGCTCGGCACTGCCCGTGACCCTTTGCAAAGCAATTCGGAAAATGCTTTGCTCTATCTTCAATATTCTACAAGTTTTTAAACATCCACAAAAGTTTACTGTAAATGGTTAGAGAAGAGTTGTTAGGGCTCTCCCAAACAGTACTTCTTCCTAAAATCAGAGTCGCTCGCAATCAATTGTTTCTTTCTCAAAAAGTGTGAGCTGGAGAGCGGTGAAATGATAAAGCGAATAGTTTCACAAGTGTGCTGGGTTGTGAACAAAACTTTCGCCCCAGGCGGGATGTAAACCCGCACCTCTCGCGAACTGCGGCCAAAAACAGCAGTTAACAAACAAACAGGTCAAAGTGTAAACTATAGGAAACGGGAAAATATGGTTTAAAGGACGAATTCACGATGAAAAAGCAACCATTTCAAATTAACCTAGGGATGGTGAGTGGTACACGAAAGAAGGAAGAACCATGAGAAACGGCCCAGAACCCGAGAAATGGGACCCCTTCCTTGCCCGTTGATTTGAGCATTGATGCGACTATCATCGCTGTGCCCTCTTCAACACTACGCTCTCTCACCTATCTAATCACTCGCCACGTATAGACCTGCGGCGAGTGATCAGATGATCGGTGGGCGTGCACTGACCAGCCGCGGCGGGATTAAACCTTAATAGGTCAACGAGGTCAACTCCTCCTGTGCAAATTGTGCTTCAGTTCGCACACTTAGGAGCTCCGCGGGTCCCTCAACCAGGTGAATTCTTCCTAATTCGATTTTCCCTCTGATCGTGAATTCGTCCTTTAAGCTTCGCTGGTCGTTGAAGCGGTAGGCACAGCTTAACCCGTAAAGTTGATCTCAGAGAAAGATGGGACAAATGGTGTGCCTGCGTCACAATTGCACCACACAGCTAGGTAATTTTCAGTAAGGTCGGCACTGTTTCGGATCGAAGTGCTTTATACAAGTAAGGCTAGTGAACATAAAGTACTATTTGCCGTGGCTAGCGGAGGTGGCCAATTCCCTTCACCGCTTGCTAATTTTAGTTAGGGAAATGTGAAAGAAGTGGGTGCTTTCTGTAATGATGTTGTGTCATAATTTCGCTTCCATGACCTGCATAAAGACTCCAGGGACTAGTATAGAGACTTGCAGAGACACCTGATATCTCTTGAGCCGACGAAGTCGGCCTCTCCACGTATCCTTTCAAAATAGCACGAATACCCATGTAAGTCACCCAACCAGTGCGGGAGCTCTTCCAAAACCTGAACAAGTCATTCTGAAGTTTCGGCCGTATTTCGGTGGAATTTCTCAGGAAGAGGAACTTTGTCGTGGAGAATTAGCTGATACATGCAACCCTTCAAGCATGGAAGGGTATCGATGATCTGTTGCATTGGAATCAATCACAGTATGCCACGGAAGCTATTTTATGCTACACATATCAAAGGAGTAACCGTAGATTATTGTCTTTCAGTTGGTCATAACTTAGGTAATTGTTCTTTTCTCAGGGTGACCTTATAATTATGAAACGGTGCAAAACTAAAAAAAATTATAAAAAAGTTAGAAGAAAAGCTGTTCCCCTCCCAAAATTGCGATACAGGGTTATTCGTCATGAGGAATCAGCTGGTGATACTAGAAAAATTCCCAGCCTAGTGAAAAATTCTCAGTCTTTCTGGGAATGCCAAATTTTGGGGAGACCTTATAATTATGAAACGTGCCATACAACAACTCAACACAAACTCGAAAAATCGTTTTTGGAGAATTTTTGCTCTATTCTTGGGTGCTCGGTCCTGTAAAAAGTCCCAAGTAGACTACTCGAGTGGCTTTCTATCCACTACAGATGTGGAGTCTTTAGAGTGTCTGGCTGGGTTTTCACATCAATTTTTTCATTTTGGGAGTACGAAAGTCGACAAGGGGAGACCTAGTTTCTGCATCTGATAATTGTCCTGGTGGTAACTGTAACTTTCGAGTCCCGAATTTTCCATCTGTGGTGGTTCCAAACTTATTGAAGAGTTGAACTGTTGCTCATAAGAGCTTCTCTGATACGTTAGACTGCCGCTAGATGTAACGTGCCAGAGCCCCTAGTGAGTTCAATTTGAGGACTGACGTACCGTGATGTACTATTTCACTAATTTTGAGAACTGTGCAATATTTGGATCCGATAGGACGAAGACTCTCTACCCTATCGCATGGAGATAGAAATGTTGCGACTTGGAAAAAAGCAGATGTCACTGCGCACGCTGTCCTCATAATTTAGGACTACCCTGTAGATCCGGTTACAGAAAATGTACTTCGAAAACATTTGGATGAATGCTAAAACGATACCCTGTGTGCGATTTTCAATCCTTCGTTGTCGGCAGTATTTTCCGGGAGGGACAGCGTGCCATTCAAAGCTATGTTAAATTTGGGAATCTGAAACGAGCAGTGGCTTTCTAACCAAGCAGCTTGGTCATCACCATTTTGCAATCTAAACTTGATGTGCCGGTTTGTCATCTTTGTGTGCTCGTTTCCATATATCTGTTCGTCCGCAACAACCCTCCCTCACATCAGTAGGGTGCTGGAATGGCCCATGGCCCGGACTCGTGCGCACGCAAAGGTGTTTTATGTATTAAAGGGCGTTACTGCAATCACGGCATGACGTTGACGTCGAATCTAAACACGTTGACGAAAGGCTGACGCGCATGCGCGTCAGGAATTTGGCACCGCATTGGACATTCTGACGCGCTTGCGCGTCAGCATCTTTGTACGCATTTTTTCCGCACATGACTGACTTTTTTCAAGATGTTTTGTTACTATTCTATAGACTACACCTTAACATAACTATGAACGGCATGGTCCATTCGAGGGTAGAATATGCTTCCTGTTGAGCAAAGGTTTTCTGAACCTTACTAAAATTCAAAATTAGATCAATCTTCGACTTTTATTTTAAAACGAACAAGCGAATAAAAGCAAAAGATAAATGCGAACATCAATAAGATACAATAATGTTATAGAATTACGAATCTGGGTGGCACGATTTGTGTTTTTTATTGAAACAACCGATACAAAAGAACTTTTTACACCTACTGCAGCGCGTATTAACCCTTTTTGTTTTCTGAGCAGCCGCAAGGGGTCCCTGTTCCTTAGACAGAGTTGCATAACATTCTGAACACCATGCAATGATGTAATCATGCGCTTTCCGGCTTTCCACGCATATCAGTTGAATCGCAGTGCACTCCCTTCTCCCTATTCCCGAACTGGCTCAGTTCCTACTTTAGCACTGATGTCATCACTATTTCGCTGAGAGGGTGCAGACAAGCAGCGCATATCTTCGTTGAAATCTCTTCTCCCCTGTTACTATTGTACCCTGTTTTTGCTACTTTCCAGTTTTCACTTCCAAAAAACGCACCTCGTGGGACAAGTCAAATCACGCCCGCCAAATTGATCATGTCCCATGCGGCGGAAAAAGCCAAAATCCGCGCTGTCGTCAACGTCTTAATCCTTACAATTAGATCCGCTTGGGATTGTTTTT